GTAACTTCTGAAACCCATAGAAAAGGATGTGATTTTAGCTACTTTTTCCTCCTGCTGCTGCTGCTCCTGCTCTTGCTACTCCTTCTATTCAAAAGGCAGCTCCTTCTATTCAAAAAGCAGCTCCCGGATGGGAAAACACCATGGCAGTGAAGGACGGAAAGTATCAAAATTGCGCCCAAAAACTCCCTAATGTAACTTCTGAAACCCATAGAAAAGGATATGATTTTAGCTACTTTTTCCTCCTGCTGCTGCTGCTGCTGCTCCTGCTCTTGCAACTCCTTCTATTCAAAAGACAGCTCCCGGATCGGAAAACACCATGGCAGTGAAGGACGGAAAAGTATCAAAATTGCGCCCAAAAACTCCCTAATGTAACTTCTGAAACCCATAGAAAAGGATGTGATTTTAGCTACTTTTTCCTCCTGCTGCTGCTGCTCCTGCTCTTGCTACTCCTTCTGTTCAAAAGGCAGCTCCTTCTATTCAAAAAGCAGCTCCCGGATGGGAAAACACCATGGCAGTGAAGGACGGAAAAACTACATATTATCTTACATGTTTTGCTGCTACTGCTAGCTGCTATACTGCCACTTGCTACCTGCTACTTCTGGACCGCCTCAGCACCAAAAGCACCTGCCGGCAGCAAAACACCATGCCATTGAAGGACGAGTCAACACCGGAAATGCTGACAGCAAAACACCATGCCACTGAAGGACGAACGAGTCCCAGAATTGCACGGAAAGATGCCTAAGGTTACTTCTGAAACCGTAGAAAAAACTATTGTCTTCGGAGGTTTTACTGCTACTGCTGGCTGTTACTGCCACACCAGTGGACAGTACCAGCAAAAAACGCACCTGTCGACAGCAAAACACCATGCCACTGGAGGACGAACGTCTGAAACTGTAGAATAAATAGAAGAAATAAACTCAAACCCTTGTTGTTTTCTACTGCTGGCTGCTCTGCTACTGCTATTTGTGAACTGCCTCACCACCAAAAGCACCTGCCGACAGCAAAACACCATGCCACTGAAGGACGAACAAGTTCCAGAATTGCACGGAAAGATGCCTAACGTGACGTCCGAAACTGTAGAATAAATTCTAAATTCAATAAACTTCGAAGGTTTTACTGCTACTGCTGGCTGCTACTGCCACTTGCTACCTGCTATTGTGCACCAAAAGCAGCTGCCGACAACAAGCCACCCTACCTCCTACTCCTACTTGTGGACCGCACCAGCAACAGAAGCACCTGCCGACAGCAAAGCACCATGCCACTGAAGGACGAACACCACCAAAAGCACCTGCCGACAGCAAAACACCATGCCACTGAAGGACGAACAAGTTCCAGAATTGCACGGAAAGATGCCTAACGTTACTTCTGAAACCGTAGAAAAAATTATTGTCTTCAGAGATTTTATTGCTACTGCTGGCTGCTACTGCCACTTGCTACCTACTATTGAATATTGTGCACCGAAAGCAGCTGCCGACAACAAGCCACCCTACCTCCTACTCCTACTTGTGGACCGCACCAGCAACAGAAGCACCTGCCGACAGCAAAACACCATGCTACTGAAGGACGAACACCACCAAAAGCACCAGCCGACAGCAAAACACCACGCCACTGAAGGACGAACCAGCGCTAGAATTGCGCCGAAAGATGCCTAACGTTACATCTGAAACTGTAGAATATTATTATATATGATAAACAAATTAACTAAAACCCTTGTTGTTTTCTACTGCTGGTTGCTCCACTACAGCTACTTGTGAGCCGCCTCACCACCAAAAGCACCTGCCGACAGCAAGACACGATGCCACTGAAGGACGAACAAGTAACAAGTCTCAGAATTCCACAGAAACTGCCCAACGTCACTTCTGAAACCGTAGAAAAAACTCTGCGACTGCCACTTGCTACCTGCTACTTGTGCGCTAAAAGCAGCTGAACGCAAGCACCAAAAGCAGCTGGCTGCTCTGCTACTGCTACTTGTGAGCCGCCTCATCACCAAAAGCACCTGCCGACAGCAAAACACCCTGCCACTGAAGGACGAACCAGCCTCAGAATTGCGCCGAAAGATGCCTAACGTTACCTCTGAAACTGTAGAATATTAAACTCAATAAACTTCGGAGGTTTTACTGCTACTGCTGGCTGCTACTGCCACTTGCTGCCTACTATTGTGCACCAAAAGCAGCTACCGACAACAAGCTACCTTACCTCCTACTCCTACTTGTGGACCGCACCAGCAACAAAAGCACCTGCCGACAGCAAAACACCATGCCACTGGAGCACGAACACCACCAAAAGCACCTGCCGACAACAAAACATCATGCCACTGAAGGACGAACAAATCCCAGAATTGCATGGAAAGATGCCTAACGCTATGTGTAAAATCGTAGAAAAAAGTATTGTCTTCGGAGGTTTTATCGGGGGTTGTACTGCTACTGCTGACTGTTACTGCCACACTTGTGGAGCGCACCAGCAACAAACGCACCTGCCGACAGCAAAACACATCAAAACACCATGCCACTGAAGGACGAGCCAGCGCCAGAATTGCGCCGAAAGATGCCTAACGTTACGTCTGAAACTGTAGAATAAATAGAATAAATAAACTCAAACCCTTGTCGTTTTCTACTGCTGCTGCTCTGCTACTGCTACTTGTGAGCCGCCTCACCTCCAAAAGCACCTGCCGACAGCAAAACACCATGCCACTGAAGGACGAACAAGTCCCAGAATTGCACGGAAAGATGCCTAAGGTTACTTCTGAAACCGTAGAAAAAACTATTGTCTTCGGAGGTTTTACTGCTACTGCTGGCTGCTCCTGCCACTTGCTACTCGCTACTTGTGCACCAAACGCAGGTGCCAACAACAGGATGCCCTACCTCCTACTCCTACTTGTGAACCGCACCAGCAACAAAAGCACCTGCCGACAGCAAAACACCTGCCACTGAAGGACGAACTAGCGCCAGAAAGATGCCCAACGTTACTTCTGAAACCGTAGAAAAAACTATTGTCTTCGGAGGTTTTACTGCTACTGCTGGCTGCTACTGCCACTTGCTACCTGCTACTTGTGCACCAAACGCAGCTGCCGACAACAGGCTGCCCTACCTCCTACTCCTACTTGTGAACCGCACCAGCAACAAAAGCACCTGCCGGGCCTGCCGACAGCAAAACACCTTGCCACTGAAGGACGAACTAACGCCAGAATCACCACCAAAAGCACCTGCCGACAGCAAAACACAATGCCACTGAAGGACGAACAAGTCCCAGAATTCCACGGAAAGATGCCTAACGTTACTTCTGAAACCCTACTAAAATTGAGAGCGCTTCTAACGTCACTTGTGAAGCCGTAGAAAAAACTCTGTTACTGCTACTTGCTACCTGCTACTTGTGCACCAAACGCAGCAGAACACAAGCACCAAAAGCAGCTGGCCGCTCTGCTACTGCTACTTGTGAGCCGCCTTACCACCAAAAGCACCTGCCGGCAGCAAAACACCATGCCACTGAAGACGAACAAGTCCCAGAATTGCACGGAAAGATGCGTAATGTTACTTCTGAAACCGTAGAAAAAACTATTGTCTTCGGAGGTTTTACTGCTGCTGCTAGCTGCTACTGCCACTTGCTACCGGCTATTGTGCACCAGCTGCCGACAACAAGCCACCCTACCTCCTACTCCTCCTTGTGGACCGCACCAGCAACAAAAGCACCTGCCGACAGCTGGCTGCTCTGCTACTGCTACTTGTGAGCCGCCTTACCACCAAAAGCACCTGCCGACAGCAAAACACCATGCCACTGAAGGACGAACAAGTCCCAGAATTGCACGGCAAGATGCCTAATGTTACTTCTGAAACCGTATAAAAAACTATTGTATTCGGAGGTTTTAAAACTATTGTATTCGGAGGGAACCGCACCAGCAACAAAAGCACCTGCCGGGCCTGCCGACAGCAAAACACCCTGCCACTGAAGGACGAACTAGCGCCAGAATCACCACCAAAAGCACCTGCCGACAGCAAAACACCATGCCACTGAAGGACGAACAAGTCCCAGAATTCCACGGAAAGATGCCTAACGTTACTTCTGAAACCCTACTAAAATTGAGAGCGCTTCTAACGCCACTTCTGAAACCGTAGAAAATACTGCTACTTGCTACCTGCTACTTGTGCACCAAAAGGAGCTGAACACAAGCACCAAAAGCAGCTGGCCGCTCTGCTACTGCTACTTGTGAGCCGCCTTACCACCAAAAGCACCTGCCGAGAGCAAAACACCATGCCACGGAAGGTCCTCTCAGCGGCAAAGCCCCATGGCAGTGAAGGACGGATCCCTGCTGCTGCTGCTGCTGCTGCTGCTGCTGGTGTCTAGCTCCGACGCCTAAAAGCGAACCACTCCCAGCGGCAAATCCCTATGGCAGTGAAGGACGGAGAGAGCGGAAAAAAGGCGGCGAAAAACTGCCTAACGTAACTTCTGAAACCCATAGAAAATGAGGATTTCTGAGCTACTCGTCCCGCTCCAAAACGCGGTTCTTGGGCAAGGAAAGACCGCGCAAAACCAAGCAGTAGTAGTAGTAGTCGTCGTCGTCCTCGTCGTCGTCGTCCTCGTCGTCGTCGTCGTCGTAGTGGTAGTGGTAGTAGTACAAAGAGGGGCCCGCCTAGTTGGAGAAGTTGCAAGCAGGCATAACTTAAGTTGCAAGCAGGTGTAACTATATTTGTAATTTAGTTCATTTTGGCTATATGCAGCAAGTTCGTGCTGAACTTGCATCTATGTTAGTAAATTTGTATCTTGAATACGCCTGATGCAACTAAGTTAGCAATTTTTGCTTGACCGAACTTAGCGAACTTAGTTTTTTTAGTTGATTTTCAATGTTTTTTTGAGGTCCGCGTGAAAAACATGTTTTTTTGGCCAGAGTTTTTTGCGACATGGATATAGAAGGTTTTTGCATGTGTTTGATTCTGAAGAAGTGCTTGAATCAGTGGCATGATGTGGGAAATGATCGGTTGGATTTGCCTGCGGTTGTCCGCGGCGAGGTTTTTGGCTTCAAAGCACAGCTGTCTGGCGTTTTTTTTTCACATGGCTTCTCCGGCACCTGCTCCGCCAAATGATGCCGACACGAACTTGATGTTGGACATGCTGGCAAAGTCGAACTTGCCACAGGAGCAAGTGGCACATCTGAGATCGGAACTAGAGAAGGCCAAGAAGCCCAAGAGGAAAGACATGCAGGACTACTCCATGTTTGGGTTGTACCTCCCCGACAAGCTGTGGCAGAAAGCGTTGAACCCAAAAGAAGACCAGATGAGTGTGTTGGATTCTGTGGTGACCCACCTGGCTGAGAAGATGGGCTTGCGGTGTCCTCATGAGCTCACTCAAGGTACCTTGTGCGGTTTGCTGGTTTGCACTATGGAGGCGCTCCAGAAGGAGAAACATAAGGAGCCACTCGCCTTGCGTGCATTCTTCTTGACTGTGAAAAGTCGTGTCGCAACACGCCTTGGAAAGTATAGGAAGGTTGCGCAACCTGAAGGCTGTGACTACATGACGGTGTTGCCCTCCAACAGAGATGAGCTACCGGCTGGCTACCAGCAGCTGGGTTTGGAGTTCTCAGAGCCCAAGGTTCCCTTGTCAGAGATCCTGTCGGTTGCAAACGACATAGTCTACAGGAAGAATGGGAAGTCACTGCAAGTTTTTCCTGTTCCAAACGACCCCATGCAGGCTTTGCAGGGCTTTATGGCTATGCCATGGGTGGCAGGATTGATGGCGTCTTTTCGACAGATGTCGCAGCCTGAGATTCCTGTGCACATGCTCCCGAAGCCAAAAAGTGCTGTGCAAAGCCTCTTGGACCGCGCCAACTCAGGGACTCCGGCAGTGGCTTCGGCAGCCCAGCCTGCTGTGCCTTTGGCCTTGGAAGACAAGCGGGCAGACAAGCCGCAGAACCTGGACGTCTTGCCTCCGTCGTCGGTTCCAGCTCCAGAGCATCAGGTGGTTCCAGTTCCAAAGCCTGAGCCGGTTCTAGCTCCATCGGTTCCAGTTCCATCCCCAGATGGTCCAATGAGTTTGGCTGCAAGCATGGATCGCTTGAAGGCGGCTACCAACCACGTTGATTCCGCACATGATGAGAAGAAGCCGCCTCCCAACCGCAAGACCTTGAAGCGGCCAGCGTCCATCTTGCAGAAATCCATGAAGAGACCTGCAGGTTCCAGCAGTTCACAGGTTCAGCTGAAACGTCCGCATGGCAAAGCCGCTCTGAAGGCGACTTCTTCCAAACCGAAGGCTGTGGCTCATTTTGTTCTTGGGTCTTTCTCGCTCTTAGTCCACTGCGGTTGTCCGCGTGGATCTCCAATTTCCTTAACACGCATCTTTAGTATTACCGTCCGCTCTTCAAATCCATGGAAGGCCATGAAGATGACCGACTTGAAATCCAAAGTGTTGAAGCTCGTGCCGAAGAAGCTTTTGAAGGATTACCGTTTTGGGTGCTCTTCGTGCCGCTACGTTTCCTATTGCACACCGTCGTGCTGGGCAAAGCGAGGCTTTTCCCTGTGATGGATCTCTATATAGGGTGAAAACAGAGCTCGGTGAGTGCGGGGCTGTTATTTCTGTATCCATTGCTGGTCGTCCGCATGGATACCATGTTTAGACCATGTTTACACCATGTATAAGTCATGGCCCACCGCGTGTTGTCCGCGTGGGTTTTTTTCGTGGGGATATAGTATATTAGCCTCTTCTATATTTTCAAATAAGCCATATCTATTTGTCAGGATGCGATCAGATAAATCTGTTCGCCGTATTCACGAGAACTCACAGGTATCCAAGTCTTAAAGGAAAGAACTCACTGGTGTCCAAATCTTAAAGAAAGAGAGGAACAAAATCACAGTCAAGACACCACATATATATATATATATATACATAGGGGAGTAACTTATAGTTAAAGGAGAGAAGTCACAGTCAAGAACTCACAGTATCAAGGAAAGAACAAATGTGGGATGGTCCACTGAGCCCATGGGAGCGTCGTTTGCGCAGACGCGCAGAGCTTTTTTCGAAAGGGACGCCGAACCAGAGGACAGGTTGAGATTGCTCTTGCTCACCGATGAATTTGTGGAACATCATGGCAGTTTCTCCACGTATAGGGTTACAATAGTGTTTTTAACGTTTCAGCCAAAAGAATTGCGCCTCCCGTCGGTTGAAGGAGCAAACTGGCGAAATTTCACCAACAGAAGTCCTTTCACCTGCATCGACCGAATGTGGCAATGAAGTACCAACCATGGAGCCACCGACGGCAGTGCCGACTGAAGTGCCTCCTGCAGGACCTATACATCAATATGTTTTACTTTTTTCTGACTGTTTTTGCTTCCATGCTGCAGGAGACAATGGTGCTGCTGGGAGTTCATCTTCCGCACTTGCGGAGCCACCAGCAAAGGCTTCAGGTGAGGGTAGTGCGGCGTCAACCATTTTGTTCATTGCCATATATAGACCGGGTGAATCTACAGAGTGTCAGCATGAGCAATTCAATGGCCGCTGGCCTGTGGCCATTGAATTGGGGACCCCTCATGAGGAACTGGAATTGAAACATAAAGTCCGCAGCCCTAGGAGCCTTGAAGTCCTTCTGTCTCGCATTCCTCCAGACTATCTTTTATCTGCAAAGATACATAGCTATATAGGGTTCACTGCGCGTGGTCCGCGTGAACCATATGTAGCACGCAGAGTTCGGTTACTGATATTGGAATCTTGGCGTATATCCATATTTATTCACATGTATCAGATATAATATATGTATATCCATTCTCATGAATCATGCAGGAGGCCCGGATGATGCTGGGGCTTCAGCTTCCGCGCTCTGTGGGCCACCAGGAATGGTTTCCGGTGAGGGCAGCGCTGCTTCAACTGGTTTGGGTTCAAACCATGAGTCAGCAGCCGCAGGAGCCTTGAAGTATGCTTGTCTTTCATTCCTCCAGACAATCTTTTATTAAGAGATACATAGCTCTAGGGTTCACCGCGCGTGGTCCGCGTGAACCATATGTAGCACGCAGAGTTCTTGTACCACTATTTGAATCTGTGTCTCCTGATATTTACTCACATTAATGAGATGTATTATATGTATTTCTCATGAATCACGCAGGAGACCCTTGGGATGTGGCGGCTTCAGCTTCCGCGCATGATGAGCCACCAGAAAGGGTTTCCGGTGATGGCAACACTGTTTCAACCGCTTTGGGTTCAAGCCATGAGCCCGCAGCCACAGGAGCCTTGAAGCATTCCTGTCTCTGATTCCCCCAGACAATCTTTTACTAAGAGAGACATATTATAGCTATAGGGTTCACTGCGCGTGGTCCGCGTGAACCGTATGTAGCACGCAGAGTTCCTTTGCTACTATTTGAATCTGTGCGTCTGGATATTTACTCACAGTAATGCAATATATATATATATATATATTATATGTATATACATTCTCATGAATCACGCAGGAGACCCAGGTATGACTTCGCAGAGTTCGTCTGCGTTGCTTCGCGCTTCTTGGGTCCAAATTGCCCAGGAGCATGGCAAATCGCGCCGTGCGGTAGAACGAATGATTGGTGCAAATCCGCGACCGAGAGGCAAGAAGAAATCCAAGAAAACTGGAGAAAAAGGCCGAGCCGAGGTAACGCATGACATGTGCAGGTCAACCTAAAGGAGTCTAAGGAAGCATGGCGCGTCACCGCTGTCACTGTCTGTTTGCTGTGATGATCCACAGCGTGTTGTCCGCGTGGATTGTACGACTCTTTCCTGTGACGATCCACTGCGTGTTGTCCGCGTGGATTTTGAGTTTCTGGGATATCCTTTCCCAACTAGATCCCATAGCATATTGGCTCTTTTTGGCTATAGGTATAGACACAGGGCTCAGGCGAAATCATCTTGTGCTGTCTCTGTTTTGGCCGCTATGGCGATGATACCAATGGAGTACAAGCTGGTGTCGAAGAACAGCAATGTTGGAAAGGTTTTTGCGGCCAATGGCCCTCGTTGGAGGCGATGCGGCCCTGAGGGTAACCAAAGAATGGTTCGTTGCTGGTTGAATGGAGGCCCTCCGGGGACGACATTCTACCTGACAGTGGCAGCCATGGTGGCCTACAAGCTGGAGTTGGTGAAGATCGACCATGCAGGAATGGTCTTCCGACGTTGCAGTGGCAAAATGCTTGACTACCGGTTTGTGGTACGACCTTGTGGCCTCCTCCGACCCTTGAGCGTCGATTTGGCGCGCTCTGGCACCTCGATTCACTGCAGAGTGACCGCACTTTCGGCAGACCTTGTTTTGGACAAGTTGTACCTCGACCAGTTAAGTTTCCATGGGATCCTCACCATCATTGCAACGTAGTCAGAACAATCCTGTTGAAGAAAAAATCTTTTAATGGTTTCCTCTCAGGACATTTGGGCTCATTGCGTGTAGTCCGCATGAAGCCTATATGTAGATATATATTTTTTTATCATGCGTTTACTCACCCGGAAGCTTCCAACCGTTTCTATACTTATTGCTTTTGGGGCCATATGTTTTGGTTGCGTTTTGATAAAGACTGTGCACACGCAAGACTTGATACGGAAGTTTTTTTTGTGGTGGTTTCAAAACGTGACCTGGAGATGCCGGTTTTCAATCTCCAGGCAAGGTCTCAGGTCACTTTATGGAGATCAATCATTCTTGTTTATAAAGCATAGCGACAGGTACGGTGATGATGTTATTTGGGGAACGGTGTACTACGACGCCTACCAAAAGGTCAAAGATCAGGGAACCCTGCCCAAGCTGTGCTTTGGTTTGGAAGTCATCAAGCCCGAGAACTTCAGCCAGCCTCTGGCCAACCATTTAGAACACTTGGACATTTCGGAGCCGCCTATCAAAAAACAGAAGGCCTAGGAGACATGTTGGGCGTCAGACCCTTGGAACATATGTTGAGCAGCTCTGAGCGAGAAAGGAAACGCGTTGCCATTACATGTGTATCTTTGAAGTGACCAATCCTAAACCCTAAACATAGCGGCAATCATGAGGCAGCATCCTTTTCTGTTGTTCATTAGTTTGAGATCTTTGCTTCCACTTTGGCGATCAACATCCTAAACCCTAAACCCTAAACCCTAAACCCTACGGCATTTACACGGGCAGCGTTTTGTTTACTGAGACAGGTATCCAGTTATACCAAGTTATACCGAGTTATACCAAAAATGTTTTGGTATAACTTTGGTATCTCTTGGTATTTCGTGGTATTTCCTCGGAACCCCTTTATAGTTATATCAAAGAACATCAAGAAATACCAAAGTTATACCAAACTTGAAACGGTATAACCAGGTATATCCTGGTATATCTTGGTATAACCTTGATATCAGTTTTTGGAAAAGAAAATTAACTTTAAGCATTGATGTGATTGCTCTCACAGACTTGGATTCTCTTGCGGTTGTCCGCAGCCGTGGCTTGAAATTTTGAGAGCTTTCGTCTAGAGCTTTGTTTCCCCATGGCGGAGCAAGACACCATGTTGGTTCCCAAGGAGCCTTGCGACACACTATGTGAGCCTGACGGTGACTTCGAGGTCAAGTGCGTGAAATGCCAGTATCCAATCGATGCAGAGGATGTCAGTGCAAGGAAAGTTGGCAAACAAGGTCCAACTTGCAAATCGTGTCACAATGTGCAGACCATGCTGACCAAGCAATTGGACCATATGCCGATGGAATGGGATATCATGAAGCCTGCTGAACATGTGAAGTTCTTCCAGCAGTGTGCACAGTTGAAAGATGAGCATGGCACTTTGAAGTACAAGCATGTCCGAGCAACATTGGCCCAGACACTGCTGACCAAAGAAGTTTCCAAAGTCAGACGTGGCGCCCTGGGAGAATTTCATCCACTGCAGCATTGGATCAATCTTGGTCACTCCAAGGAGGATGTGGAGGAGAAAGCTGAGAAGATGGTTCACCCGACCGTGGGAACAGTCACGTACCGTGTGGACGTGTTCTCGATCTCTATGGAGAAGATACGGGAAGAAGTGGAGGAGACACTTCTGTCTTGCAGCCGTGATGTCAAGAGGAAACATGCTCCTGCAGAAGCCAAGGCCGCGGCCAAGAAGAGGGCAAAGGGTGCTCTGCCGCCACCTCCTCCGCTGCCGCTGACAGATGAGCAGGTGCAAGAGAAACAGTTCTTGCAAAGCATGGTCATTGACTCTGACTCCGACTGTGAGATGATCGCCTCTTGGTTTGCTATATCATGAGTTGACTGGGAACCCACCCTATGTGCATAAAATATTTTCTTAGATTCCACAGCGCGTGGTCCGCGTGGAAATAATTTTCAATAGAAACACGCAGAGAGTTGCCTTGCTCTCTTTAAAGGAACATAGTCACATATATAGATATATATATATATCCTTAATAACATGTCATGTATTTTTAAAAGGACACAATCATTAGAGGATGGGGATTCCAATGTGACGGACTACGATGTTTAACCACTGCGTGTTGTGTCCGCGTGGTATATCCTTATGTGGATTTGTTTTTGCATCTTTTCTGTTCAATTCCCTTTAGGTTCCAGGCAAGCGACCCAAGTCCGACAAGGCTGCAGAGAAAGCAGCTGAAAGGGCAGCAGCAAGGGATGTTGAGAAAGCTCACAGAGAGATTTCCAAGTTGGTCCCCAGGGCGTTGGCAGTGATCAGGCCCATGGAGAGCCGCGTTGCCAGGCTGGTCGATTCGACGGGTCAAGACAAATTGGACCTACTGCCCCAGTGCACAAGCAACTTGATCACGGAGAAGCGTGAGCTCCTCAAGAAGTGGTTGAAAGCTTGCTGTGACGTGACCGCCACCTTTCAGAGCACAGATCAGAAGGCCAGCTGGGAGATGGTGCCCTTCGCGGATTTGAAAGAAGTTTCCACTGAGATGAAAGCCTGCGCGGACGCAGCCAAGGCCGTGGCAGAAGCCAAGAAGGCTTTGAATCCGCCCAAGCCCAAGCCTGCGCCCAAGAACAAGTCTTAGATTTTTTGAGATTCCTTCCCAAAGTTGCAGCGATCAATTGGATTCTGCAGCTGATATTTTGGATCCCCTGTCAGCGTCTCTAGCCAGACAGAAGCACGTTCGCAACGCGCAGCCCGAAAAAATCATAAGCCGGTGCCAGTCCACAAATTGCTTTGTGTCTCACGCGCCTCTTCATAAAAGGCACAATATAGAAAGGAATCTACCCTATATATATACATATATATATAAATCAAGAAATGCAACTGCTTTTGAAATCGAGAAATGCGAATGATTGCTGCAGAACACGTTGTTATCCACAGCGAGTAGTCCGCGTGGATGCTGCGTCATCGACCAACTTCTTCCTTTCATTGTTTTTAGTTCTCAGCTATATAGGTAGGCTTTGCGCCGGTCCAGTAAGCCGGTTCTTTCCCACTCAACTCAGCCATGCAGTCAGCTGCGTCAAAGCCAGAAGGATGTTTGTTGGCTGGGCTCACTTTGGCCTCGCTGGCAAGCTGCCTCACCATGCGCATGTCTCCAGAGCATGCTGCAGCTTTTGCAGATGAAGAGCTGGAAGCCTTCAAGGAATTGTGTGTCTTCTGGCAAGACATCTTTTCAGATTCCGCCGAGATCTCTGCAATTCTTGCTAAAGCAGTGTGTGCCCTGTCCGTGCTTCGCGTGCACTTGCGCGACAAAGTGGAACTGATGGACATCGAGTACAATCCGCTGTCCAGGTACATCCCTGGTCAACCAGTCAAGACTGTGTATGACAAGCTCTTGCCACGTGGCCCTCAGATTTTGGAGCGCAAACGTGATGAAACTCTTTTCCATGGTTCCTTCATCGAGTCTCATCGTGAGGACTTGTGGTCTCATGAGGCTTTCGTGGACGTGCTGCTCCCTGCACATACCGTGATTAAGGATGGCTTGCCTCATATTCTCTTCGTCTTGCAGGGATTCATGATCTGAGTAGGTTTTTCGCACAAACAGCAGAGTTGGCGGCTATAATCGCATTTTGGATGGTGGAAAAAGACTGGAAACGGAGTTTGTGTCCCAGATTTTATGTGTAAACTGTTCAACTGATTTCATCGAATCTCTCGTACCAACTTCTCAGAAACATGTTCATCAAAGCCGGCTGCAGTGTTGCCAACTTCCAATTCGACATTCTTGAGTTCTGGGTCCACTGCGTGTTGTCCGCGTGGGCTCATTATATTATGGCGATATAATAACCCTTTCTATATAGGAATGATATTTCATATGGCATTCCATTCTCTCCGACTTATGCTTTGCAGTTCCAATTTCCAATTTCTGGCGTGGGTTCAAGCAACTTGTTTTGATGAGTTCGTCTTCCAAACCGACGACATCTGTTTCCGGTCTGGAACATGGATTGAGCATCGCACCAGCAAAGCTGATTCGGAAGCTCCAATGCTTGCTGAGCGATTCCAAGCCTTCAGCTGAGCCTTCTGGCGCCTGGAAGCGTAAAGTCAATCAAATTTTGGAGCCGCCCAGGCAATGTTATGAAACAGTGGTGGTGGACGGCTTGGCGGGTGCTAAGATCCGATTTTCATGCGCTGTTTTGGGACGGATGCTAGAATACTTGACAAGTGGATGCGCATGGTATCGGCAGCGCTTGCAGGCGATCTCCAACAACCGGGTTGGTCTTCTTTTGTTTGGAGACGAATCAACTGGCGGGAATGTCCTCGCTACGAGTAGTTCAAAAAAGATGTGGCTTTTCCATGTTGCTTTCCCACAGCTTGGCGAGTTGCATCGACCAGACAGTTGGCTACCTCTTGCTGCCATCCCTCACCGCGATGTTGCTCAAGTCCAAGGTGGGCTCAGCAAATGTTTTTCAAGCATTTTGGCTTCTCTGCAGCGGCAGATGGAGGGCGCTACGCGTCTGCATGGGTCTGAGCTCCGCTTCTATCTACACGGTTTCTTGGGAGACTATGATGGAATCATCAAGTGTTTCTGTGCAAAGGGCGCTTCGGCCACCAAGCCATGCCTACTTTGCCAAAACTGCCTTTCAAAGGAACATTTGGCAGCGGGAAGTGATGATTATTTTCAAACAATCTCAAGCGCTGAGGTCGAAAAGTTTCAGCTCACACGATCAGATGAGCTCTGGTCACTTTATGATGCTCTGCTCTTGGAGTTGCCAACCATGACGAAAACACGACGGAAAGAAGCTGAGAAGTTGTTGGGTTTCGCTCTGGATCCGCACAGCCTCCTAGCTTCTCGAGATGTGCGAGACTTGATGCCTCTCTCGCTCTGCATGCTCGACAGTTGCCACTGCTACTACGCCAACGGGCTGGTGGCTTCGGAACTTGTTCTTGCCTTGCAGTCCCTCTCTAAGAAGATTGGGTTAGACCTAGCTCACCTGAAGCAGGCCATGCTTGATGTTCCATGGGAATGCCGGGATCGCAGGTTGTCATCCAAATCCGCCAAAAAGTTTTTGTTCCACGAGTCCTTGTGGCCTGGAATTTACAAAGGCTCCGCAAGCGATGTCTTTTCTTTGCTGCCGTGGATGTGGTTCCACTTCAAAAGTTTGGCTGGTGACAGAGATTTGCCAGAATTGTTGAGCTTTGAAGCGCTCATGGAGGTACAGCACACCTTGGATTAGTTTTTTCTTGCATTCTTCTTGCTCTAAGTCCACTGCGGTTGTCCGCGTGGATCTCCTATTTCACTACTAAGTGTTTTTAATTACTGCCATGCATCTTTAGTACTACGCCCTGCTCTTCAAATCCATTGCGAGTTGTCCGCAGCGGCCTCGTTTGCGCCGTGAATGTGTTCTCGTTCTGTCTTTTTTCAATCACAAGCATCCTCCCAGAAGGTTCACATGGAGCTGAGAGCTTGGAGATCCGGCACAGGTTCATGCGAGAAGCTTGACAAATGCCAGCGGCAGCACCAGCGTTTATTTTGCTCTTGCTATCCTGGAGACGAACGCCCCAAATGCCACTTGCGTCTGCATCTCCCTGAAATTTATTCACGCTTGGGATATGCAGATTGCTTCCCAGGAGAAGCCAAGCATCGACTCTACAAAAGTTATTTGGCTGACAGCCACGTGGGATTGTGGCAAGAAGGTACTGGAAAACTTTCTGCTCA